GTGTATGGGGCATATATGGGGTTCTGGGGGTATGGGGGGTATGAGGGGATCGGGGCTGTGTGAGAGGCCCCCTGCAACTTCCCACCTCCCTTACTGGGATTTGCTAGAACTTACTGGTCCCCCTGCAAGGGGAGCCCTGAGGCTGGCACAGCCCCCAGCACCTTGTGGGGGTCCCTTCTGGCCACTGACCCCCATGTCCTCCCCCCCCCCCCCGGGCAAACCCTATGTCTTTGACCGCGTCTTCCCCCCCAACACCACCCAGGAGCAGGTCTACCATGCCTGTGCCATGCAGATCGTCAAGGGTGAGGGCTGGGGCCTTGTGGGGGGGCCTCTGGGGGGGTCCTAGCTGGAGAACCCTCCTCTGGGGACACCCAGATCCATGGAGACATTGGAGGGTGCTGGGAGGAGACAGGGGCAGGTTGAGGGGTGACACTGGCAGGGGGAGATGCACAGGGGGTCCCTGGGGGTGTCCAGCAGGTCTTGGGGTCTCTGCAAGACTTTGGGGGTGTCACTGCAATCTCCAGGGGTTCTGGGGGTATCTGTGAAGTCCTTCAGGGTGTCTCAGGGGTCCTTGTGCATCGCTGGGGGTCTTGGAGGTGAGCTCAGGTGCCTAGGGGGGATCAGGGAGTCCTTGAGGATCTCAGGGGAGTCCCTTGGGGTTTGGGGGGGTGTCTGTGAGGTCCCTGAGGGTCCTGGGATTCCTTGGGGGTTCCTGGGAGTCCTGGAGGGCCTTCTGCCCACCCTCACTCCTCCCCACAGATGTGCTGGCTGGGTACAACGGCACCATCTTCGCCTACGGGCAGACGTCATCGGGCAAGACTCACACCATGGAGGTGAGCGGGCCAGGGGGGGCTTTGGGTGGGGGGCAGCATCCCCTGGGCCTGGCATGCCCCTGGGTGCTCACCCCTCACCCCTCCAATCCCCTGCCACCCCCAGGGCAAGCTGCACGATCCCCAGCAGATGGGCATCATCCCACGCATCGCCCAGGACATCTTCAACCACATCTACGCCATGGACGAGAACCTTGAGTTCCACATCAAGGTGGGGACTGGGAGGGACTGGGAGCACTGGGAGGACTGGGAGGTCGGGTCCCGACCCCCCCCCCAACACCCCCAATTCCCTCCTACTAGGTTTCTTACTTTGAAATTTATCTGGACAAGATCCGGGACCTGCTGGACAGTGAGTTGGGGGAGGCACTGGGAGATACTGGGTGGGTATTGGGATGCACTGGGGGCACTGAGAAGCTTGGAGGCACTGGGGAGCACTGGGAGGCCCTGGATGGATACTGGGGAGCACTGGGAGTCGGTGGAAGGGTATGAAGGAGCACTGGGAGGCATTGGATGGCAATGGGAACTCCTAGGGCGTGTTGGGGGGTCACCTCCCCCCAGCCCCCTCACCCC